AATTTTAAATCAAAAACGGCAAAAGTAAACTTAATGAAATTGGGCTCAGAAAGCATCTAGTCACACAGAGTTTTAAAGGCTCCAAGTCTTTTTCTTCCAAATTCACTTCTTCCATGATGGAGGGCACGAAGGTTAAAAAGGCCAACTAAAGCTTTCCCTATGATTAGCTCAAGCCTAGGCAAAATGAATAGGCTATCCGTGACCGGGACAATGGAAAAGAAACTGCTCATGGGCTTTGAATCAAGCACAAAGAGGGAAGCTAGAAATACCTCCCTCCTGCCCCCATTCCCCCCCCCCCCCCCAAAAGGGCTTCTGACTTTAAGCCAAGTTTGCAGGTGAGCTGATAAAAGAAAAGTTAAGGGAAGGGAATTAGGATAACACACCTGGAGCTAGAAAGAATTTCAGGGACCATCTAGGCCAAACCTCTTCTTTTTACAAATGAAGAAACTGAGGCCAAGGTAAGTGGCTTGCCTAGAATCAAACAAGTAGTAAATAGGGAAGTCAGGATTCAAACTTCCATTCTAATGGAAGAATGTATATCAGCTTGACACATTTATCTGTAAGACCTCTTCAGGATTATTTTTTATTGCACATTAATAATCCTATCACCTACATGCCTTTGCATAGGCAGTCCTCATCTCAAAAATGCACTCTCTTCTCACCTCCATCTCTTGGAATCTCTAGTTTGAGAACAAATGCCACCTTCCACAAGAAGCCTTTCAACCCTCCGATGGCTAGTACCTCCCCTAGAAATCCCAATAATTGTTGGGATAATCCTGAAATAACAATAATCATTAATTATTCTGTATATACTTACATATGTACAAATCTCTTTGGATAGAATGTAAGCCCTTTGAGGGCAAAGGATGTTTCACTTCTGCCTTGATAATTCAAGCATAGTACATCGCATCAATTGGTCACTCAATATGGATGATGAGTGACTGACTCTCTTAAAAGCACAATTATTCTCTAACTGCACAAGTTTTTGGTAAAAGGGTATCAGAGGTCTAGATTTTCAAAAGCTACAGACTATTTATTCCAGTAATGGAAGGAAGACAGAGATACCCTATACTAGATGGCTAACGTGACGTCACTGGAGTTCAGGGCAAAAGATGTGGTGGTATGTACCTGCAGAAAGAAAAATGAATATTGCAATATACCTATAAATTTCAGTTTTCCCCACTGTCTTCATTCATTCTCAAGATTATGCACTAGATTATGAGTAGCCTGATAATGAACTGGTGTGTATTTTATATTAAATATTTTTATAATACCGTAAGTTTCATAAAGTGCTTACTTCACGAAAACACTCTGAAGCAAATAGAGATTATCTTCTTTTTACAAATGTGGAAATTGAGATTCAGAGATGTTAAACAATTAACCAATCATCACAGAAGTGTCAGGGCAAGAAGTTAAATCTAAGTTTTTCCAAATTCTACCTCAGATTCTCCAACTCCAGAATCAATACACTGTGCCCAATATCACAATGTTTCTCCATATTTCTTACCAGATCTACATTTTATACGGTAATTCACAGAATTTATTTTCTGAACACTTCAAATGCTCCTCCCTTGAACATGACGAACGGAAAGGATCACATGATGCCTTAACAGTTAATCAGATGCCCCCACCCACTCCACTCAGCTCACAGTCAATCTTAACACATAAATCAGAGCAATTAAACGGAAACAATTTTAATCCCTTCCTCCCTTAACCTCAATGTGAAATATTCAACTTTAGGAGCTAAGCTACACATTTTATCTGCACCACAATTAATACTGAGTCAATTGAACTGTTTAAGCACCCATGTATTTAAGAGTGAGGAAGTCATTTTTCAATAAAGAAGTCTAGGGAATATCTATAATTGTTGTAACAACGACAGATTGCACAAGTGGGGAACCTCAATGTAAATCATCTCATTTTCTGAGAATTTCTGGAACTGTGATCTGATTTTCCAGGAACAGATGACAAAAGCTGCCAACTTGTATGACTAGATTTTTACTAGAGCTAGAAAATTCAGAAAGGGCTCTTAAAAGCCACTAAGAAGAGATGCTGAATTCCTCCCAACGTGTCCTCCCCCTTCAAAGAATACTGTTTCCAAGAGAATGCCAACTTGAAACAGTTCCCTGGTATAGGGGAAAGAGAATCTTGGATAAACAGTCTTTGGTGATTTAAGCAGTAAATATAATAGCTAAAAGCAATTAAGTTTTGTACGGCCTTTAACCTACTTTGCTGCCACTTCTGGCACCAACATGACATTTTAAATGTCATTGGAGGGTTAGACAGAGAACAAAAAAGCATCAAATCAACAAGTATCACAGCATCATAACAAACCAAGTTTATAAGCCAATATTTCACTCTTTCAAAAGCAAAACAGGCTGCCCTTCACGCTTGAAAATGGCACGGCTCAGGTAGTTTTCAGGGAGGCTTCTGCTAACCATATTTTCCTAGCAGTGATAATGGCCTTGCGATGACTCTTCTAGACTCTCTTATCTACAGCCCTCCTGACCAATAGCACCAAGGCTAGGTTTAAGAGAAGGTCAGACAACATTAAGAATAAGATTTGTGGCCAAGCTAATGAAGCTAACCATGACTCGGTGCTTTAAGAAGAAGAAAAAAATTTTTTTAGATAAAATAAAAATAAAGTATATATAAAATATATATTAAAATACATAAATATTATGTAAAAATTAACAAGTAATTTTTTAATAAAGGCATGAGACATCAGACAATATCTACCTTAAAATCACAGACATCCACCCACGTAAACACACATCCTTAAGAAAGTATCCCAAGAAGACTTATTCCACAACCACGCTTTACACAGAGCAGCTATCAAAATCCATTCCTTCTTCCTGGCTTTTAATCAATATTGGTTTAGCATCAAAGATTTAAATAAATGAAATAGCTAATCTTCTCTTGTAACTATGTACAAGCCTTATTTCTCCTACTAGACTATTAACACAGTGAGGGCAAGGAATTTCCTTCCATCTTATTTTATACTTCAAGGAGGCTGACTCAGAGACTTGAACACGGTTGGTATTCGATACATCATCACTGAACTAATCATCTGAGAGATATGCCTGTTAGGAAAAGTATCCCCACCTTTTTTTCCCTTGGAAAAAACTGCTATCACTTTCAAGAAAGTGTGTAAATCCCTTTTAAAGAAACTATTAAAAAAAAAAAACTACACCTGAAACACTTCATGCAGCTATCATTCTGCACCAAAAGACAGACATAACTCAGAAAAGGCAACAAAAATGATCAAAGGGTCAACCTATAAGCTATTATTAAGGATTGGCTAGATGCCAGGCATTAGGCTAGGCAAGATGATATTAACCCAAAAGTGAAACAGGTCCTACCTTCAGGGAGCTTATATTCTACAGAGAGGGCAAGGGGGGGGTGGGGGGGAAGGATGGTTGCAAACATTAAGACTAGGCCATTTGGAAAGATGAAGAACAAGGAGAGATTTGATCCAAGTTCATATGATCCTTAAACTGCATGGTTATTCAAGAAACCTCAGAATACCAGAATTAGGAGGCATCCCCCAAAGCTTGAAAAAGAACCTTCTATAACAGATAACTGAATGACAAAAATTGATATCAGAATAGGCTTAAAAAGATTTCACAGTAATTCCCACAATAGTTTGACAATAGGTTATTAAGAAAAAGGAGAGAAATTAGAGGTTGGGAAATACCTTTCTAATCCATTAAAGTCACCATGAAGTCCAACTTTGATCCCCTATAAAACACCTTGGATGCCACTATCAGAGGCATGAGGCTGGTCTAAACAGCTAATGAGGTTTGGTCCAGTTTGATGTTTTGTATATTCAGTCACCCCAAGCCAATTTCTCTAAAATGTTTTAATCATTTGCAACTGGAAAACTACACATTAAGCTTTGCTACCTCCAGGCAAAAATCAACTTCTTACTCAACTTTTCTCTTTGGACTTTCTTACAACTTAAGCTGAAGCTTTCTAGAGAACATTTCAGTACCATACACCAAAAAAAAACTTTTCCTACCTACTATTATGGTACCTGAGTGATGATTACCTAGCACCTACTTGATTCAGAATACCAAATTATTTATTTCAGTCTCTGCAATTAAAATCTTCAATGAAAAAATGAGGGGTGAGAGGGGGCCACAGTAATACACTAAAGGTGGAGCTGTTAAGTGGTCCAACCATTGAGAAAAGCAATTTGGAATTGTGCAAATTAAATAACTAAAATGCCCAATACCTTTGACACAGAGATTCCATGGCTCCCAGGAAGTCAATGATAACAGAAAGGCCCTATATACAGAGAAACATTTATAGCAGGAATTTTTGTAATAGCAAAGAATAAGTAGATGCCCGCCGATCAGGGAATGGCTAAGCAGACTGTGGAACAAAAATGTAACGAACCATTACTAAATAATGAATATAAAGAAGCACAAGAAAACTTACGTAAGAACAGATACAAAAGTAATGATAAGCAGATCCAGAAAAACAATGCATAAAATGACTACAACAATGAAAACGGAAACAACAATCATAATTGAAAATTAATGCTGTGAAATTATGAATGACCAAGCTTGGCCTCAAGGAATAGATATGAGAAGGCACCTCCCTTCTTTCTTTGCAAAAATAGGAGTCTCTGAGTCTATAAACAATAGGTAATGTCAGACTTCTCAGATGTGTTGATTAGTTTTTCTGAACTGTTTTTCCCGCTCTTTTTTTTTTATTTTTGTTATAAGGGATGGCTCTCTGAGAATGGGAGAGGAGGGGATATATCTGGAAATCAAGATGATTATTCATGCAGGGAGTTCTTTCAAAGACAAGAAAAGGGCTGGATCATGGCAGCATCTTGCTACTTTCTTCCACGAATAACTTTTCTGTAGTTCCATCTTAGGAATTTCCTTTGTGCAAAACTAGAATTTATTGTTGGTTAATTTCTTTCTTTTTCTTTTTTCACTCTAGCTCACATCTGACTGATTTTACCAGGACCACACAAGCACCCATACCTGGTAATATGGATGATGCAAAAAGGAATCCGGGCAGCCAGCTAAAGCCATTGGTTCTTTCTTGCTTTCTTCAAATTACATTTACTGTGGTACTCCACCTGCAACAGAGACCAATCATGAGAAGCCAAGGCAAAGGAAAAGCTTACACTACTTGTTACTACTAAAAAATTTCTGCGTAGGAATAATAAAATCTCTAGCACCCCTAGGCCATCTCAATTTGTAGACCTGATAGGTCTTTCATTAATATAAAAGCAACTATAGATTTTTATTCCAGCATTATGCATCAGATCATATACTAAAGCAGGGGCTCTTAACCTGAGGGTACCCTAACTTGTTTTGTTTTAGTATTGATAACTATCCTTCAATTTAATTGGTTTCCTTTTTTAATCCTATCTATTTTATCCTGGGTATTTAAAAGCATTACTCCTAAGAAGGGGCCCATGACATCACAAATGAACCCTTCAACTAGGGGATGGTCTGGGTCATGAGAAGATTCTTTTGGGGTGGCCACATGGTAGTAACGGAAGAGCAATACAATTTGGAGGAGCTACATTGTGCTGTTGGAAGGTCACTCACTGTCCATAGTATGGAGAGAAACAGACTTCCAAAATTTAGTAGCTATGTCACCCTGGGCAAATTCACTTAGCCTTTCCTTAAGCTTTTGCCGCTGATTTGTTTTCATTTGCTAATTACATCCAGAAATGCAGCATTAGAAATCGGTTATGGATAACACAAATATAACTACTAAGAGTTGGGGTTGATTACTGAATGGTTTATGCCCATTTACTTCTGAAATAATCCCAATGAAAAATAATCTGCTCAATTAACTAGTTTTAGAGAAGCAATATGCAGTTATCTTGCCAAGAAGCTACAGCAAATATTAACTCATAGAAATAAAAAGTTTATTCTTCACCCAAAAGAACTATGCTCTTATTTCATGAACAGTCATCCCCAGTAGGAGCAGAAACAGGCTCAGTGTTAACCTGAATCCACTGAAAGCAAGGTTTTCCTAAAGTACTTTTATTCAGAAGCATTTCTGAATGGATTTACCACTGTATCATTCCAAGGCTGTTGTTTTTTAATCTAAATATTAACTACTCCATGTATCAGCCTGGTTCACAGAAAGAACCCTGGCAAAGGACTCAAAGACGGGAATAAAGACACACATTTTTTGAAAATAACAATTGGGAGAATTTGCTTTCCTTGACTATAGGACAGGGGAAAGGGGAACAAGAAAGGTAAGGGATGAAAGGGGCTGGGGGAAGAGAAAGGGAAGGGAGAAGGCAAAGCCAAGGGAAGGGGGAATATGAAAGGAAAGGGGGAAAGGGAAGAGAGAAGGGAGAGACAAGAGAAGAGAGAAGGGGAAGGGACAGGAGAAAAGGGAAAGGAGAGGGGAGGGTCAAGAGGAAGGGAAAGAGAAAGGGAAGGGAGGAAAGGGGAAGAAAAGAGAGAAAAGGAAGGTTAAAGAGAGGAAGAAAGGAAAGGGGAAAGGAAAGGGAGGGAAGAGAGAAAAAAGGAAAGGGAAAAGTGGGGTGACAGGTGAGGGGTAGAGAAAAGAAAGGAGAAATGGAAGGGAGAAGGAAGGGTCACCAGGAGGGGAAAAGGAGAGAAGAAAGTCAAGGGGAGGGGGAGTAGGAAAGGAAGAGGAAAAAGGGAGGGGAGGGAGGGGGGGGTGGGGAGGAAAAGTGGGAGAGGAGAACCTTGATCTTGGAGAGCTAAACGATGTTTGAATACTGGCTTTACAACTTAATAAAAGATGCCCTTGGAAAAGTCATTTACCCACCACGGGTTTCAATTTCCTGTAAAATGAGGAAGTTGGAGTAGTGATCCTTCTACGGTTCCTTCCAGTTCTAAATCTCGTATCTTATGATATTGAGCAATCATAGCATCACAGATCTAGAACTGTAAGTATTTCCTAGATTTAGCACCAAATAACAAAACATGCAAAACGGAAATTTTTAAAAAGGTGACAGACTCATGCCCGAGAAGCAAATTTGGCAAGAATACATCAACACCAAGAACAGCATTCCCTACCCACAGAGAACTCTGCCTTCTTGCTGGTGGCACGAAAATCTTGCCAAAAATATTTTGGAATAGAAACTAAATTCAAGCATTCATTCAGATCTAAATCTGCCTCCCACAAATTTGAATCTATTTCAAAAAGGTCTCTGGATGAAAAGGAAAGGTTAAGAAAAAGAAAAGTCCTGCTTCGGCAAACCTTTTACACCACATGGCCCCTTCTTCAAAGCAATTCCTAATAAATACTAACAGCTAAAATAAATGAGTCCAATCACAAGTTAGAAAAACAGAGCAACTTCAGGGACTCTTCTATCTGACAGAACTCTTGGGACAAGTCCAAAGAGGTCATTAAGTACAATAAATGCTATGTAGGGAAAGCCTAACAGGCCATGCCCCAGTAGCATGTAGAATACCTTTACCAACACTGTCTCAGCAATCTTCACAATATTCCTAAGAAATAACAAAACTGAGGCCCGGGGATGTATGTGTTCATGTCAACTCACAAGGGAAAAACCAATGGAATTTAGATCAGCTCAGTGTTCTGCCTGTCAAATCCCTGAAACAATCAATTCATTTATCCTGAATAGTACTTCCCTAAAATAAAGATATGCACAAGTGTGGAAAGTCCATGGATGTGGAACAAAACATACATTTTCAGTTTTCCAGTGCATTGATCGGTTTTGCTGATTTTTTTTCCTATTGTTCATCTTTTTTCCTTAAAAAAAAAAAAAACAGTCTTTGTAATAAAAGGATGGCTCTCTGGGAGGGGCAGGCCAGGGGAACAGGAGAAATCTAGGCAACGTATAAAAAGCAAAAAATATGTCAATAAAAATGTATCTAATAAAAAATAAAGATATGATTAAAATGCAGGAAGATTAAACCAAAATTCTTATTTGTGGTTCTGTTTTGAAAACTAAAATTCATACAGGAAAAGCAAAGCCCTATCATTCAGAATACACTGGATTGATCCTTGGTTAAAAGCTGTAACTGAAATGTAAAATGTGATGAAGGGGAGATTGATTCTCTACAGGGCTATCAGGTTTCTTTATCCTTTCCATCCCTTTCAACAAGCCTTTTAACCAGTCTTGCAGAACACTCTCTTGCAACTGGAATAAGCCACTGTTTTTAATCTATAAAGATCAATTTCTTTATTCTTCTATGCCTCTTTAGGCATCAGGCACTTGACACTATTAACATAAAAAGCTGATCCTCACCTTTGCTCTAAAAGATGAATTCAACTAAGTCATTTTTTTTCTGGCTGTCATAGCTATTGAATCTGTCTTTTAACTTCTAATGAATTTTGCTTCTGAGCTGTCTCCAAAATGCTGCCATGAACAAATTAAACGCTTGAGGCAAATTTCTGATATCCGATGTAATGTTTCACAACATCTCAAGAGAACTCACATGAATCACCTTGTTAGAAAAGAACAATTAAAATTTTGCTTAAGAGTAAAATGGCTTGGGAAATTAAAAAAGTAGTTTTTACTTTTTTCTTCTTTTTTATATATTTTTATTTTATTTTCTATTTTTATTCATTTTTCTATTTAAAATTTTTATTGTATATTAGGAAGGCATTTTTACCTTATTCTAATAAGTTTTATTAACAGCTCTGCCTGCACACTGGAATAATACCTGATTTACTCTTTAATCAACTGATCAAGTATTTATTAAGCACCTATTATATGACAAGGACTGTGCTAGGTTTTGAGAATACGCACAAAGAATGAACAATTTTTACTTGCAAGTAGCTTACATTTTAATGGGGGAGAAAGTAAGTACACATAAAAATATATCCAACACTAAATGATATCCTGTGAACCTTAATTCTGTAATTGATTGCCATTTGTACCTCTTAGGTCTAATGAGCAACTTAAATAGATTACTGGGGAGAGAGAGAGAAAGAACCAATAATCCTCAAGGTAATCTAATTACTCTAACATCTATTGATTCAAGACAATAGTAGAGGCTCAAATTTAGTTAGAAGCCCAACAAAACAAAGTATTTTAAAAGAAAAGGAAAGGATCTGGACCTAGAAGGGACTTAAAAGGTCATCTAGTCCAAGTGTCAAATGATGGAAGTCTGCAAAACTCCTCTGTGTAGCCTGGACAAGATTAAAATGTAATTGGGGAATAGTTAACAAAATAAATAAAAATACAGTATGAGACAATGCTAATTTGTAGTTTTCTAAATCAATATGTAGTCTGCAGGAATCCATTCCTACTAGAATTTGGCACCATTGATTTAACCAACCCCAGGTCCAGAGACATGACCTAACTTTCTTAAAGTCACAGTATGATAGGCAAAGCGGGCAAGAATTCGAACTCAGACTCTCTAAATACAAAGCCAGCACCTCTTCACTATTCCCCAGGCCTTCATTTGATTATGCAGATTGGAGTCGGGTTACAGAGAATCAAAATGGGAATCTAGCTCTGATACAGGAGGCATCAAGGAGTCACTGGCGGCTTCTGAACAAGGCAGTGACATGATCTGAGAGGGCCTATCAGATAATAAGTCACAAGCAGAATTAGTTTCAAAGTGAAAAGAAAAACTGATAGAAGCTGGTGAAAGCCTAGATATGGCAGATAAAGGAGGATGCTGCAGAGATGATCCCAAGCTTTTAAGACTAAGTTACTGAAAGAACAATGATGACAGAGATATACATTTGGGACAGGACGCTGCTTTGGAACCAAAGAAAGTTTAGGTTTGGAGACTCTTACTTTGTGATGATGGCTGGACATCCCAAAAGATACATACTAGAGAGCCAGATGGGACTGCAACTCAAATGAGATGTCAGGGCGAGGAAATGAAATTCTTAAAAACTCCCATAATACCATATGATTGGAAGATGCTCTCTACCTCCAGAGAAAGAGATGACAAGTGGAAATATGTGTCGTGTGGTTTTACATATACGTGTGTGAGTGTATATATGTATATGTTTATAGATACGTATATGTATATGTGTATGTGTGTATGTATGTAGGTGTACATCGATATATCTGCGTTTAATTGTAGCCTTCTTGGGGTGGGGGTAGGGGGAGAGAAAAAAATAAAGTAAAAAGCACACAGCAGAGAACAAAAG